ATACATCATATTAGCTTTGGCAATATTGAATCCATGATGTAGTAGGTGAATACTAGGTTTATCTTTGGTAAAAAAGTAAACTTTCCAAACTTGACTTTGACCAAAGTCAAAAGCCTAGTTCATGTGATCTCTTGAACCAATATTTGTATATACCTCTTGATTCGTAAAAACCTGAATCAAACTTCACTTAGATGTCATGCTTGATAAGAAAAACCTTTTTGAATCCTACAAGAACTCTAATTGAATGAGTGATGGATAGATGAATCCACACCCTATCTCTTGTCTTGTGCACAAATCATCTTCCATGTCTTATAGCTCAAGTAACAAGCATACATGGAGTTGATGAAAGATGACATCTCAATGAATAATTTACCATGTGCTATCTTGACCAAGACTTTGTCTTATTGATGAACACAACATAAGAGAAGATGTCTTGATTCAAAGACCACAAAGAAATCATTGTATGCAAGTCCACACTTTTAAACTCTTGAGGAGAAAACCATATGACCGTGACTGGAAAGAAGGCCCCAGATGAAAGTTAGCTGGTGGAGAGAAGATGCTTGAGATAGCCATAAGATTGAACCCTAATTCGTCGATCCTCCGTTGAAATGTCTGGCCAAAACCCCAACACAAAGGAAGAAACCCTAATTCACTTGATCTTGATGGAGAAAAAGCGTTGAAAGGTTGATGAAAAAGAAGTCTGCAATGATCATGCCAAAACCCTAATTCCCTTGATCCATGCTCAAAAAGAACCAAATGACTCAAGCTTATCTGATACAGAAATCTCCGGACACATAGAACCACATAGAAATCCTTGTTTGCATGATTCTTTGATCCCATGTCTTAGAAGATTATGTAATGAATGTATGCAAAACTATGCTAATGACTTAATAGAAGTATGCACATGAATGTGAAATATAAGCTAATTTAAAGTTAGGTGTAGGAGGACAAATTTTGAGATCCAACAATTAATATATATTATCATATTATTATTATTTTGTTAAATATCACATAGATATAAAATATAGACCTAATCCTTCAAAAGTCTTTCCCTAACATAGGCCTTATGATTTATTTAAAAACCTATTCAAGCAAATCTGACCACTTGTGTATTCATTACTTAATTAGTAAAAATATCATGACGCTTATGCAGGGGACAACTAGCATATGTGTGAGTATATATACTCTATATAGTCTTAATAATGTCTAAACTCTAAGCCACTAATTAAGTTAACCATTTAATTCTAAGAAATTCACATCATGGTTGCATTCTGTTCTCCTCAGTTCTCATACTCAAACATGGGATGGCTCTTACACGAGTTAGAGCCTGCAGAGTCCTTAAACATTAGCCATAACGAGAAGAGCTATGCAAATGATTTAGAGTACTCTTTACCTCAATATCATCAATTCTCTTCGCTGAAGCAACAACAAGTTGAAATTCAAACGCCACCACCTTCGCCTAAGCTTATGGTGAAGAAGCTTAACCACAATGCTAGTGAACGTGACCGCCGCAAAAAGATCAATAGCTTGATTTCTTCACTTCGTTCACTTCTTCCCAATGAAGATCAAACGGTAATAATTTAATTGAATTAAAAAATCATTCAAGACTTTGAGATATAAGATTATACTGATTATCAGCGTATTTATTTATATATTAATTTGTGTGAGTTGGGCGGTTGAAAAATTATATTCTAACATGTCATATTCAAGTAGCTTTATTTTATCTAAAGATAAACATTATAACTAATATAAAGTAGTCATTAATAGATACTTTAATCAATGTTGATGTTGCAGAAAAAAATGAGCATTCCAGTAACAATTTCAAGAGTCTTAAAATACATACCGGAATTACAAAAGCATGTGGAAGGATTAACTAAGAAAAAAGAAGAGCTTCTATCAAGAATTTCTAGGCAAGAATATGCAGTCAACAAAGAATCACAAAGGAAAATAGTTCCTAATAATTACAATTCTTCTTTTGTAGTTTCAACAAGTAGGCTTAATGATAGTGAGATTGCTGTTCATATTTCATCTTATGAAGCTTACAAAAAGATTCCAATATCTGAGATTTTGATGTGTTTAGAAGATAATGGACTTTTTCTACTAAATTCTTCTTCTTCTAAAACCTTTGGAGGGAGGCTCTTTTATAACTTGCATTTTCAGGTATGTTATGTAATATTATGTTGTTAATGTTTTTAGTTTTAGGTATTTATTATTTATTTAAATGTTAGTTATGCAATGTTTGCAGGTGGATAAAACTCAAAGATTAGAGTGTGATGATCTTATTCAGAAGCTTTCGTCAGTGTATGAGAGGCAGCGAAGTAATCAAGTAGTGCTGGGGGCTAAAGATCATACGATCAGGAGTGTTATGATATATTAATTAAAGTTGGGGATTTGGGTTTTTGTAGTAGTTTGTACATATTTTGATAGCAAGGATTGAGAGCTTTTTTGGGAAGGAGTAATCACTTTTGAAATTTAATTAAATTTAGTGAGTTACTTGTTTTTGTAAGTAATAATTAATTAAGTTAGTTGAGTTAGGGAAGTTAGTTTGATGAGTAAGTAATTAGTTAATTTAGTTAATTAAGTTGGTTATGATGTCTTGAGCTCATTAGTGTGTTGTAAGCTTGACCCATGAGGTGTATAAGTAATCACTTAGTGATTATGAACTTTAATCTTCTTCATCAAAACAAAAATGGTAAAAAGCCTATGAATAAAAACAATATCTAGATTTTAAAATATTAGAACCAGGGGAAGTGGCCAATGTTTTGATAAAAAAAACATGCAAGGTCATCAATCACTCATCATTGTTATGATTTTGTGCTCCAAACATAAAGAGTAATTTTCTTACCACGAGTAAATTGTTAGAGAAGAGGTTCACAATGCACCTCGCCCACAATCAAGTGGAAGTCTTTGATACACATGACAAGACTATTTTAAGAGCACCTTTATCTCTGAATTTTTTTATGAAACATTTCTGCTGTATTTTAAATATTAGAGAAGTTTATAAAGAAATCGAAGATAAACATGTAGTAAATTGCACAACTATTTTTTTTTAGATGGAAAAAATAATCCTTTTAAAAACTACATTCATAGATTTAGGAGATACACTATTACTTTTCATAAATTTTTAGAATCTCTATAAAAGATCAACTGCTTCTGGTGCTAGGAAACCAAAAGTTTCAAAGACAAATGGTATGAACGCAAGTTGATCGTGGAAACACGCTATTTTTTTACCACTTTAATTGAAGCAACTTTGAGAGCTGTCTGTCTCATAGTAAAACCACCAGTCCTCAGTCCTATCAATAGAGAAACTCAATTCAAGTCCATACAAACATGTTTCCTTCCTTCCACCCATTTACCACAACATCTACTAGCCTAAGTGTCGATCTCCCTTCATGTGGGTCAGTAAAATTTTTTACAAGCGCCTCTTCTTCATAGATACTTCCCTAGCAAGGTCATGTCAGTATTTGAAACTTAAAAGCTCCCTACAATGTATCATGTGTTCTTCAAATATATTCAAACACGTCTTGCGAAAAATAAGACAAACTCATCAATAAGAAATCATAAGGCAGTACTTTAGGATACAATGATACTTCAGTTAAGACATATGTTGGCCTAGCCCATCAATAGGAATGACAAGGATAGAGTCCTAAGCATGTGCGGCTTACAAACAATCAAAAACGAATTTCTGCCTTGTGGTCATGTGACATCCCAAAATCTAGAAATCTTTATTTTATCAATTATTTATGATTTATTATTGATTTTTTATGTGATGTGAGATGATATGTGGTCGGACATTAGTGAGATTTGGATGATAATTAGAATTATTTAGATTTAAATAATCTTAGTTTATATTATTAAAAATTATAATAATAAAATGGAATATTAAAGTGAAAAGGATAATAAGAGCGTAATGGTAAGTGTGTGTGAGTAAGTGAGGGTACAAGAGGAAAACCATAGAAAGAAATTATTTTAATAGAGAAAATTAGAGAGAAGGGGGTTATTCTGTACGATTGTGAAAAGTTGGGAGAAACCGTGAAGAGAGAGCTACGACATAGAGAAACAAGAGGAGATTTGCATAAAAGTTGAAGGAAGAATTAAGTTGGCTAGGATTGATATGGGGTTAAGGTAGATGTAGGTCTTGTCTTATGTATGATTTGATGAATACCATGATGTAATTGTTGATAATGATGTTTGATATGCATGAATTGAATCATTTATTTGTATGGCGATGTTGTGATCGATGATTGAATGATAAATTGTATAATGTTGTTGTGGAAATTATGCATTTGATGGAATTGTTGATGGTAGATGGTTTCGTTGTGTGTGGTTGCGAGTCAGCGTCAGAACTAAGTTATGGGTGTGTGCGGTGAAAGACTGCAAACCTTCAATAAGTACATTAGGCAAATACACAACTCCCCTTTTTAGTTAGAAAGGACTTCGGGCACAAAGAATTGCACAACCACATGAGTTTAGTGTGTGAAGAGACTCCTAACAACGTGAAGTTAGGGATGCTGAACTTGACTAGTGGTATTCTTTAAGAGATCATAGAAGGCCAAAAACATGATTCGAGTTTGGTTGACTAGTTGTTGCTAATTAATAAATCTAATAGAGGCAAATTTAGAGTTGATGATAATGGTGTAATGAGGTTTGGTGATAGTGTGTGTTCTAGATCTGCCAAAGCTTAAGAAGCGTATTCTTGAGGAAGGACATCGAAGTGGTTTGAGTATTCATCCCGGTGCTACGAAAAATGTATCAGGACTTGAAGAAATTATATTGGTGTCCTGATATGAAAAAGGAAGTTATTGAGTTTTTTTATGCTTGTTTGAATTGTGAGAAATCGAAGATTGAACACCAGCAGCCTTTGGGTTTGATGCAACCATTGAATATTCCATAATGGAAGTGAGATAGAATTTTCATGGATTTTATGTCGGGTTTGCAGAATACTTCTAAGGGAAATGATTCTATTTAGATGATTATGGATATATTGACTAAATAGGCTCATTCCTTACTAATAAAGATTAATTATTCCATGCTAATATTGGCTGAGATTATATAGACGAGATTGTGAAATTGCACAGAATACCTTCGAGTATTGTGTCAGATAGAGATCTAAGATTTATGTCAAGGTTTTGGGAAAGTTTGCAGAAGGCTTTGGGAACTAAGTTGAGGGTGATTTTTGCATATCATCGGTAGACGAATAGTCAGACAGAGAGGACTATCCATTTTTTTGAGGATTTGTTGAGGGCTTATGTGTTGGACCAAGAAGGAGCTTGTGAGTAGCCACTTGTTGTTGATTGAATTTACGTACAACAATAGTTTTCACTCTATTATTGGGATGGAATCATATGAAGAATTGTACGGTATGAGGTGTAGGACTCCGTTGTATTTGTATGAGTCATGCGAGAGTGTTATGCTCGTACCTGAGATTTTGCAAGAGACGATTGAAAAGATCAAGATGATCTAAGAAAGGATGAGAGCTTTGCAGATTCGTCAGAAGAGTTATCATGATAAGAGGAGGAAAGTGCTTGAGTTTCAACAGGGGGATCACATATTCTTGAGAGTTACTCTGGTAAATGATGTTGGTAGAGCTCTGAAGTTGCAAAAGCTTAGACCATATTTTGTTGGTCCATATCAGATTGTAGTGAAGATAGGTAAGTGTGGCCTATCAAATACCTTACTGTCGTCGCTTGCGAACCTTCATGATTTGTTTCACGTGTCTCAATTAAGGAGATACATTCTGGATCCTTCACATGTAATCCAAATTAATGATGTCCATGTGGGAGATAACCTACTAGTTGAAGCATCACCCGTGCAGATAGATAGTTGGAAGTGAAGTAGTTACAGGGTAAAGAGATTTCCTTGGTGAAAGTAGTGTGGGGTGGAACAGTTGTGGAAGTATGACTTGCGAGCGTGAGGATTGCCATTCCCCAATTTTCCCCTAGAGTCATTCATTAATCACATTTGTGTCATTAGTTGGTCGTTCAAGCATTTAGGTTGATCAAAAAGTCAACTTAAGTCAACATTCATATCATTTTAAAGTGAAAAAATACTTGAAATATCACATCATGCATTTTTATTTTTTTCCATGCTTCATGCTTTGCACAAAGTTGATCAAAATCTAATAATATTAAGATTTCGGTTCTACAGACAAACCGGTAAAAGCGATTCGAAACTGTCTATAAAATCAGTGGGTAAAATATTTCTAGCTTTAATCTTTAACTGACTTTTTTATGAATCTACGTTTCGCGTAGATCATGTTGGTATGCTCGTTTTATTTTCCGGGGCAGTTTACAATCACATTTTGATCGCCAATGCTAGTCTAACCAAGTATTTTTATTTTTGATTTTGATCAATTATAATCTTTTAATTAATCTTTGTTGTTTATAGTTTATTTTAATATGTCCAGTTTCCTTTTTCCGATTAATTTAGGGTCCGTTTTTTATTATTTCGGATCTCGTTTTTTATTCGGAAAAATTAAAAAATTAAAATATTTTCTTGTAGATTTTATTTTATTCTTTTAGTTTTTATCATTTTTATCGTTATACTAACTCTCTTTGTATTATTATTATTATTATTATTATTATTATTATTATTATTATTATTATTATTATTATTATTATTATTATTATTATTATTATTATATTATTATTATTATTATTATTATTATTATTATTATTATTATTATTATTATTATTATTATTATTATTATTATTATTATTATTATTATTATTATTATTATTATTATTATTATTATTATTATTATTATTATTATATTATTATTATTATTATTATTATTATTATTATTATTATTATATTATTATTATTATTATTATTATTATTATTATTATTATTATTATTATTATTATTATTATTATTATTATTATTATTATTATTATTATTATTATTATTATTATTATTATTATTATTATTATTATTATTATTATTATTATTATTATTATTATTATTATTATTATTATTATTATTATTATTATTATTATTATTATTATTATTATTATTATTATTATTATTATTATTATTATTATTATTATTATTATTATTATTATTATTATTATTATTATTATTATTATTATTATTATTATTATTATTATTATTATTATTATTATTATTATTATTATTATTATAATTATTATTATTATTATTATTATTATTATTATATTATTATTATTATTATTATTATTATTATTATTATTATTATTATTATTATTATTATTATTATTATTATTATTATTATTATTATTATTATTATTATTATTATTATTTATTATTATTATTATTATTATTATTATTATTATTATTATTATTATTATTATTATATTATTTATTATTATTATTATTATTATTATATTATTATTATTA